GCTTCCAGCTGTGCCTGGGCCTCAGCCCATGGCGGGGGGTGGGGGAGCTGATGTGATGGGGTCTGGCAGCCCCCGTGGGACCCTGTCTCTGCTTTCTCCTGCCTGCGGCCCCCCGTGGGGTCTGAGGGGAGGAGGAAGATGCTCCTGGGCCCCGTGGGTCCCCAAGTAATGCAGCAGCGGCTGCTGGCGGGGGGGGCGCCGGGGGGGGGGGCCGGGGGCTGCGGGAGCGGTGCGGGGCTGGCAGTTGCTATGGAAACCGCTGGGTCAGAGGCAGCGTGAAGCCGCGTGTGACGCCATCGCTCACCGCAATGAGCCGTGAGAGCGGCGGCGGCCTGGGGGGATGCGAGCCCCCCGCATCTCCCCTTCACCCAGCCAGGCGGCTGTCCCAGCCGGCCTCGGCCATGGCTCACGGCTCCGCTTCACCTCCCTGGGTCACCCGCACCACGGCTGGAGCGACCTGCAGCACCACGGCCCTCGTGCTGCTGCCGGATGGTGTTGGATCCCCCGGCTCACCAACCCATTAACCGGGCAGGCGCAACCCACCGGTGCCCCCGCTGCAGCCCCCCACACCTCGAGCTGCTGCCAGCAATCCTCTCGCTAATCCCCGGGTGGCTTTTCTAGCACCGAGTCGGGGTTATGCTGGATAATCCATATGTTTGCAAGCGGAGGCTTTGGGATATCCACTGTTAATCCAATTGGCAGTGGCAGTTTGGTGCCATCGGCACATCGCCCTGGTTCTGGGGGGACGTGGGCCGCCCCCGCCACCGCACCCTGGGCTGGGGCGGCTCCAGCGACGGCACCGACTCGGTGGCAGCTCCCATGGGCTGTGGAGCAAAACCAGCCTCGACTCCCCGGTGCTCTGGAGCTGCTGTAAACCGGGATGGCTTTGGGGCTGCTCCAGCCCCTTCTCTGCGGGTATCGGGCAAGCTGGAGCGCAGGGCTGCCAGCCCAGCTGCCCTCTGCCAGTGTGTCCTTGCCGCGCATCCCTCCAAGCAGCCGTGACTGCCTGCTGCACACGAACAGCCTGGCGTCGCTCCTGCTTTGCTCCTTTGTGCTTCGGCTGCTTCTCCACCTCTTCTGCCTGGTGCTGCCCGCTCTCCTGGCTGTCCCCATCCCCGCCTGCGGTTCTCCCCCGGGAAGGCTGCGTGCAGTGGGCGGCCGCCGCTCCTGGAGGTGATTTACAAGCCAGGACAAATGGGAGCAGATGCTCCTCCGTGCCGGGGCCGGGTCGCGTGGGGTTTCGCTGCCACCATACAGGGACGGGTCTGGGGGAGGTGGCAGCACGAGAGGACACCAAATGAGGTCTCTGAGTGTCTGCACTGCTGCCGCTGCCTTCGCTACTGGTCCTTGCCCTCGGGTTGGCATCGTCCCTGCCGGGGCTCCACTGGCTGCTGTGCTACTCTCACAGGAGGATGGGGCACTGGCTGAGGGTCGCGTGGCGTCGTGGCTGTGCCGCTGCCGGCGGTGACATGCGGGAGCCCAGCACCATGCCGGATCCCACGTTGCCACAGCAATGTGGCGGGAAACTGCAGTGGTGGCACTTTTCCTCCCGCAGCAGGAGGATGTCGGGGGGGGGGGGTCTCGGCATGCTGGGCCCCTCTGTCCCTGGGGCTTTGGAGGACGCAGCCCCCCCAGCTCCCCGGGGTGTTTGGCACAGCTGGCAGCCCCCTCCTGGCCCCGGGGGCAGCCGATGGGTGGTCACGCATCATGCTGTAGTACCAGAATTGCTTGTACTTGCCTGATGGTTAATGGATTGGGGAGCCTGGAAGGGCTTTAACCTCATCTGTGGAGGGGGGAGAAGGCTCCTGACCCCACTTCAGAGGGGTGGGGGCCCCGGGAGGCCACCTCTCCAGAGGAAAGGGGGGGGGGGGTGTCACACAGTGCATCAGCAGCATCATACCATCCCTCACTGCTGGGCTGCTCGGCCAGGACTCAGGCTCAGGAAGGCCCCCCCGCTCACGCTGCTGCCCAAATCCCCTGTGCTGAGCCCTGCCTTTGGCAGTGCTGGGGTTCTCCTGGCCCTCAGACCATGGCACTTACCTGCCCAGAGCAGCCCCCCCAGATGCCGGCGAGCCCCAGTCCTGCCCTCCAGCAGCCGCGGGACCAGCAGCACCCCCCTGGCAAAGGAGCCCAGCTGGGGAACTTCTACATGTTTATTTGCTCTTCAAATCACAGCAGTTCCAGCCATTGCCCGACAGACGCTTTTGCAGCCTGAAGACCCCCCCCGCCCCACCAAAACCTCAGTACCCAGCTCAGGGCTGCTGCTCCCGGGGACAGAGCTCAGCCCCGACTCCCCCCGTTCCCTGTGCCAGCCCTGGCAGCACCCAGCTGTGCCCCCACCCCAATGCCCACCCTCGACTTCAGCCCGTGCAGTATTTACAGCCTCTGCATGCCCAGAGCCCCAGCCCTGGGCCCCCCCCCCCCCCCCCACCCTGCCCCCCACA